CGGCTCCCGCCCCCAGCCGCCTCCCGGCCGGCCTCAGGCCTCCTCGAGCCGCCGCGCCAGAGGCCAGGCGGGCCAGAGGCAGCCACGCCGCCGCCCCGAGCTCCCCGCATGTATGCTTCCTGTTCTTCCTTTTTGTTTTATTTTTTTCCTTTTTGATTCATTGTTGGCACTCACAATTTTTTTCCTAGAGGATGAAAGAGGTTTAAACCTTCCTTGTTTCTATGACAATGTTGGTATCCGTGTGCAATCGGAAAGAAACCCTTCTCGCATACACGCTTTTCGTCAAGTACATCGTGAGATTGAGGATGCAACCACTCATGGTCGGCTCCGGGATGATCTAATAGAGCACCACTGGCAGTTGGATGGGCGGCGCATTGGCCCATGATGTATCTTTGTTTTACTTTTCTATGTCCTATTTAATTCGAACAATTTGTGTAATTTGCTCAAACATTGTTGTAATAATTTGAATGATTATTTTTTTATTTGGTGTTGTAATAATAACTAGAATGATTATTGTTTTATGTCAAATGTGATGGAATTTGTGATGAAATGTGTGATATATGAAATGACAGTTTTAAAGGTTGGGGTTGAGGCAAAGACTAGAACCCTCAAATCCAACCCTTAGTTTAAGGGTTGGGTTTGAGGGTTCTAGTTTTTGCCCCTATTTTTTAATCCTTATAAAAGTGTTAAAAAGTGGCACTTCTCAATCCTTAAAACTGCTACAAGGATTTGAGGATTTAGGGTTTTTTTTTGATCTATTTAGGGGTTCTATTAGTAATGCTCTCACGCGGGGCGATTCCCCCCCGCCACGACCCAAACCGAACCCCCCACACATGAACGCCACCAGCACGAGACGATACAGACGAGACCAGCAGCTCCATCTCCACAATTCGTGTGCCTTCCCCCACCACTACGCGGCTCCCGAGGAGACGAATCGAGCCTCCTCCTTCTCCACTCCCGGTCGCCGCCGCTACGTCGATGTGAGCATCCCCGCACCCCGATCTCCCGCTTCCTCTCTCTGTCTCTGCACCTATTTTTCATTTATATTTTTGAAAAAAGAATCGGTCCAAAGATGGCGCCTGGGTGTGTTCCTCTGCGATCAGGAGGTGTGGGAGCGTTCCATTTGGGGAAAATCGCGCTCTGACGGGTTGCCTGTGGTCCGATTTGGCCGCCGCCAGCTGATCGGGCACCGGAAGGAATGGTGTCAGTTGTGTGTGTGCGCGCGCGTGAGCGCCGGATTTGGGCGACAGAACGGGCTGTTAGTGGAGTTGGGATTTGGGTGGGTTGTACGCTTGCCGATTGGGTGCCGGATTGCTGGTGATCTACTGCTAAAGACGGAAATTTTTATCTCCAGTGGAAATCTCCTTTTTTTTTGGGTGGGGGGTGGTCAGATGATTGATTCCCTTTCTTTTCCACGCCAATCGATGCATTCGTCCTCGTGAAAGGCTGCGGTGAAGACGAAGTATGCTGTGGTTACCACCGGCGGTGACTTTTGCCATGTTGGGCGGTTGTGGGCACATTAGTGTATGAAACACTTGTTCCAGATTTCCATTTGTGTCTACAAAAATAGTTCTATTTAGTTATGTATGTTGATCAACAATTTCAACTGTGTTTATGCTTGTGCAGATTGGAAAGGGCTCCGACAGCTCGAACACCGACTTAAGTTGCATGGGGAGAGGATGCCAGAACTGCGCAGCAGTACTCGCCAAGCACGTCTGAGGTTCAGGAAGCTTGACGATCAACAAGCAGAGCCGGCTGTGAAACCGGTGCCGCCTGCTCCACAGAGAGCAGGGAAGTGCGATCATATACCTGCTGCCAGGGGCAGAAAGGGTGCTCCTTGGAGAAGAGTGGTGCCGGCACCAAGGCGTGCAAGAAAGGGAGCGGAAGTTGTTGACTTGGATGCTAACCTGGGTTCTGAACACCTCCCTAAAGCTGTTGCCATACATGCAGTTGTTTGTGAATCCAAGGACCCTGCTTTGAACAAGGTTGCTCAGGGTGTCGGCAATAAAGGTATGAGAATGGATGGTGAAAGTGCTGAGAAGCTTGTCGGCGCTGAAGACGATTCAACAATAGCACCAATACCGGAGAGGGTACTTCTTTTCCATAATTTTTTTATCATGAACCGCCATTTTGTGACCTGACATAGTTTTCAATTGACTTTATAGTTCAATAATTTTAATGCAATGGTTTACGCCTTACTCATGTTCTCTAGGATGTTCATTCTGTTTTAGATTGATCACATAGGGCACAAGCAAAAGGACCTTCATCTTTTGTTAATGTTGCAAAACTAAACATAGGATATCATGCTGTATGTTCGGAGCACAAAACAGAAAAAAAAACTCCATCCAGTCCAAAATAAGTGCCACAGTTTTGAACTGAACAAAACCGCGCCACTTATTATGGATCCTCGGGAGTATTTCGCTTTGTCCCTCTGTCCTACATAGATTACATCCATTGTTTCATGCCTTATTTGATGCCATCACATTACGGACTCATCCATCAATTCAGGGGTAGACATTGCTACGGTTAAATAGTTTACCTAAACTGTCAAATATTTCTGTTGTAGATCTAGAAAAAGCTTACCAGTTAGTAGTTAATATGGCCTACGTAATTCGAATATAGTTTCACATGGCGCGGAAGTAAACGAACTGCAGAATTACCCTCTTGCATCCGGAAATCCAGATCTCTATGCATATAATGACATGCTACAGCTAAATCCATTGCCTTGTTGCACAACTTTGCATCACTGGAAATTCTGCCCTAGATGATGCTATGAGGGACCTGCAATATCTTATTTGTCATAGTTGCCAGTTGTGCTACTTGGCAGCATCCCACTTGACAGGTCCGTTATCTTGATCCAATCCAATACACAAAACAGCGAATTGTCATGGAAAAACATGCTACTTCTTTAAGTCCTTGTAGTTCGAATATAGTTGCACATGGCCCAGAAGTAGATGAACTGCAAAATTGCCTTCTTACATTGCAATGTAGGTCTCTGTGTAATGACAGGCTACAGCTAGGTCCATTGCCTCGTTGCACAATTTCGCCTCACTGAAAATTCTGCTCTAGATGATGCTATGAGGGACATGCAATGTCTTATTTGTCGCTTTGTCGGAGTTGTCAGTTCTGCTATTTGGAAGCTCCTAATACCATGTCATTTCTGCAGGTTCATGTAGGTAATTCTCCTGTGTATATAACTGACAGGAAACTAGGTAAAGGTGGCTTTGGTCAAGTGTATGTTGGTAGAAGGGTATCTGGTGGGACTGCTCGCACTGGTCCTCATGCATATGAGGTTTGTTTGCTCTAAAAATGTTTATGAAAAAAAGGCAGCTTTTTGTCACATTAATCAAAACTACGGATAATAACTATGTAGGTTGCATTGAAGTTTGAGCACCGGAGTAGTAAAGGGTGCAATTTTGTCCCCCCATATGAGTGGCAAGTTTATCAGTACGTACTTTGGACAGTCAACTCCTTTTTGTAGTTATGCTATTCTCTTCATCTCTTGAACTTTCTGATCAGTGAGCATTGGGTTTTTCTGTAACAAGGACTCTCAACGGCTGCTATGGTGTACCGGCAGTCCACTATAAGGGCCGGCAGGGCGACTACTATATCCTTGTGAGTTTATTTAAGTTAATCATCTAGACTGGTAGGCTGTTTTTTCTTTTAAAATTGATCATATTGAAAAAATAACTAGGTAATGGATATCCTTGGTCCCAGTCTTTGGGATGTATGGAATTCGCTGGGACAAGCGTGAGCATCCTCTTGTTCCTTTTGACATTGTATACTTTATTGAAGACAAAGTTCTTCTGTAATCTGTACTAAAAGATTTAACACTTCCAACAGGATGTCTCCACATATGGCTGCTTGCATTGCTGTAGAAGCCATATCAATTCTTGAGAAGTTTCATTCCAAAGGGTAGCTTAAAGTTATCTTCAACCAATGCATCGCTGTTCATTCTTGTTAACACATCCTATTTTTGTTAGGTTTGTTCATGGTGATGTGAAACCAGAGAACTTTCTGCTTGGTCTGCCTGGATCACCTGAGGAGAAGAAGCTTTTCCTTATTGATCTTGGTTTAGGTATTCTATTAATCAACAAATTCTATTTCATCGCAATATTTCATGACATAACTCAGGGTCATAGTCTTCTACTTTTCTTTAAACCAGATTAGTGTGTTTTTCTTTCATTACTGATTTGTGTTGATATGGTGATGTCTAAACTGTGCAGCATCAAAGTGGAGAGATTCGTCAGGTCAACATGTTGATTATGATCAAAGGCCTGATATCTTCAGGTTGGTTATTTTCCCTATGCGTACTTGTTTTTTCGCCTATGGTACTTCTTTACTTACCCTTTTTTCTTCGTTTTTACTAGGGGGACAATTAGATATGCAAGTGCTCATGCTCATCTAGGTCGTACAGGTAGTAGGAGGGATGATTTAGAGTCATTGGCATACACCCTTATATTTTTAATAAAAGGAAGATTGCCTTGGCAAGGCTACCAGGTAGATTTAATTATACCTATTGCGTTAACTTCACTATATTTTCCTGGTGTTCACTTAGGTCTGTTCCAATGTTACTTTCTTGACATCACAGGGAGATACCAAGAGTTTCCTTGTTTGCAAGAAAAAAATGGCTACCTCTCCGGATATGTTATGCAGTTTCTGCCCACCTCCGTTCAAACAGTTTCTTGAGTCTGTCACAAATATGAAATTTGATGAAGAGCCAAATTACGCCAAACTTATTTCTCTCTTTGAAAGTTTGATTGAATCACCTGCGTCAAGGCCCATCAGAATTGATGGGGCCCTTAAGGTCTGTGTTGCTGTACTTTCACTGTCATGTTTGGTTAGCTTGCTTCTTCTGTGTCTTGTTATGAACCTTTTCCCCAAATTCTAGGTGGGGCAAAAACGTGGAAGGCTACCTGTAAATCATGAAGAAGATGATCAGCCTAAGAAGAAAGTTAGATTAGGGAGCCCAGCATCACAGTGGATTTCAGTTTACAATGCCAGGCGCCCTATGAAGCAGCGGTAATTACACTAATTGATGTTTGAAATAAAGTAGATGATACGAATATGATTAATTGACATCATTGGACTTCTGATATCTGTTTTTAAGTGGTAATTCCAAAATTCGTTGCCTTATCCATGAAGTTAATACAGACTAGCACGAAGCTCCACGCAAAGGTCCAACGGCTAAGCAGTCTACTGATTCTTGGTTGAGTCTCAGTCGACTGAAGTTCAGCAAACCCGTTAATTGTCGTATTACTGCTTCCCATGTTTTCTTTGTTCAGTTTAGGCAAGATATTCTTGTTACACCTATTACCCGAGTTTAAACCATCTGTCTGTAGTTAACATGCAACAGCAGGCAAAGTAACCATCTAAGAATTCAAATATCTGTGGCCATGGCCTCCAAGTAACTAGTTTGCACAATTCCTTATATACTGGTAGAGGTATTAACTGTGCTTGTAGTTTCTAGTGATTAAGGCTTTCAGTTTGCACTTCTTCATGTACACATATTTCTTTGCGTAGTATCCATGCCTTTACTTTTTGAAATATCTCATTGTCAGTCCCTTGTTTAATACATTGGTTATAAAGTAAATATAAATAGTTTGGCATTGTATTGACGGAAATTAAAGCCAATATATGTTGATTCTCTTTGTTAGGTATCATTACAATGTTGCTGACAACAGGCTTCAACAGCATATAGAAAAGGGTAATGAGGATGGTCTATACATCAGTTGTGTGGCTTCTTCAGCAAACCTTTGGGCTCTCATTATGGATGCAGGAACTGATTTCGGTTCTCAGGTTTATGAACTCTCACCTGTTTTTCTACACAAGGTATGGTAGTCTCATAAAGCATGATTATTATTGATTAGTGCTGTTGATAAATTACCGAGTGAGGATTCCTAATTCTGTTTCCAATACACAGGACTGGATAATGGATCAGTGGGAGAAAAGTTTCTACATAACAGCAATAGCTGGAGCATTGAACGGAAGTTCATTGGTTTTAATGTCTAAAGGTCTGTGGCTTATGATTTTATATCAATCGGGTTTGCCACTTAAATTTGTATTTTGTGGCAATATTTTTGTTGACGACAAAGAAAAAACCAAATGTTTTGTTTGTACGTATTTAGCTTGGTACCTCCCATAAATGTCATTGTTCACAGGGTTATTCATAATATGATATAACTTGTTCTGTCTCATGTTTGCAGGAACTCCTTACACTCAACAATCGTACAAGGTTAGCGAATCATTCCCCTTCAAGTGGATCAATAAAAAGTGGAAAGAAGGTTTTCATGTAACATCTATGGCCACAGCTGGAAATCGCTGGGGAGTAGTCATGTCAAGGAACTCTGGCTATTCTGAACAGGTCAGAATACTTGATTGGCATTGTTAGCCATATGAAATTGTCCATTCGATTAATGTCCCAGTATAGATTTCTGTAAATTTTCCAGTGACTATAGCATGGCTAGTTTACGAGGCTAAGTTCTTTATGCAATTTCAGATTGTTGAGTTGGATTTCCTGTATCCAAGTGAAGGCATCCATCGGCGATGGGAGCATGGTTACAGAATAACTTCTTCAGCAGCTACCGGTGATCAAGCCGCTTTTATCTTGAGCAAGCCAAAACGGAAACCAGTAGACGAGACACAAGAAACTCTACGGACCTCAGCCTTTCCCAGCAACCATGTAAAGGTACCTTAGCAGCTCATACAATAGTGTTACTCTTGTCATAAAATACCAGGGATTCTTCATATCCTCTACTATTACATACCACTCCCTCCGTCCCATAATATCAGAGCATTTTTGACACTCCGTCAAAAACGGTCTTATATTATGGGACGGAGGGAGCAGTAGATTACATGGCGGTATGATGCTTGTCTCCGGAATTCAGTACCTTAGCTTCTTCTGTTGCGGTGCCAAGCTAACCTTGGAAACTACTTGCAGGATAAATGGGCCAAGAATCTATACATTGCTTCGATCTGCTACGGGAGAACTGTCAGTTGACCAAGAGAGGGACGTTTACTACTTTGGCAAATGAGCATCAGTTGATGTGAGATACAAGAGAATTGCCATGATAGGATTCAAAAGCAGAAGTTGATGTGATGGTTAATTCGACCTAATTGTAAAACCGAATGCATGTTGTGGACCTTCTCCATAAGATGCTAACATAATCCACACGAAATTTGCATTTATAGTTTGGTTAGTTTCACCTTTGCGCTGTTGGGCAGTCATAATCTTAAAGTATGGTGAGAGATGGCGCTCCGCTCCCATTCCCCTCCCCGCTCCCTAGCCTAGCCTAGCCCCCCACCAGCCTCGCCGCCGTCGATCTCGCCGGTAGCCCTCCCTCCTACCCTTCCCTTCCCCCCTGGCCATGGCCTCCGCCGATGCTCGTTCCGGTGACTCTAGCCCCGACGGTCGCATCCGTTGGAGCGGTTTGCGGGCGAGTCCTTTGACTCGTGCTCCTACCGCGAGGTCGTCAACACCCCGCCGGCCCCGTGCTCCTCCCCCCTCGCCGGCCGCGCCGCGCCCGGCCCTTGCTTCCTCAGCCTTGGTGCCGCTCCGCTCGACTGTGCCGGCCGTGCTGGCCGCCCGCGTTCCGGCCGTCGCTCGCCTGGGACCATGCTCGGAGGTCCATCGCGTCAATGGAGGCCCTGTGCTCGACGCCGATGGATTCTAGCAGCTGCGACGGAGGAACCGTCGCCCGCGCGCGCGAAGCGCGGCCACCCCTCCCTCCCATCGCCGCCGTCGCAGCCCGTCGCCTAAGGAAGTCGCCGTCCTGTGCTTCAGGTGCCTGGAGGCCGGACACCAAGTGCGGGCCTGCACCAATCTCGTGCGCTGCCGTCACTGCCTCATCTCCGGCCACGAGTCCAGCTGTTGTGAGATGCTGCTGCCCGGTGACCATCGTGCGCAGCCTCCGGCGGCTCACCGTCGTGGGCCAGACACCCCGCCGTGCAACCCCCCTTCCCAACTCCCCCGCTCCGCCGCGCAACACCCCACCGCCGACCCCGCCGCCCGCCTCTGCGCCGGCGCGTGTCACCATCACTTGTTCCATCGAGATGGAGGAGGCGGAGGAGGTGCTTGCGCGCGGCATGGTGGCCACCATCACCGGTACCAGGCCCTCTGTCTCCCCGGCCGACGTGGAGGCAACCTTGCATGCCATGTTCGACCTGCAGCCTGGCGACTTCACTGTACACAAGCACGTCCCGGAGGACTTTCTCAGCATCTTCTCCTCTCGGCTGATCATGGACCGGATGGCCGGCGACCACCTCATCAACTCCGCCCACTTTACCCTACTGCTTCGCCCTTGGTGCAAGCTCGCCCACGCCATTGCTGGGAGCTTTGCATTCTCTGTGCAGCTCGAGCTCCGCGGCATCCCGGCGCAGGCATGGCACCTGTCCACGGCCGAGCACATCCTTGGGACTGGCTGTTGGGTTGAGCGGCTGCACCCGGATACGCGTTCCCGCGCTGACCTTGCCACATTCCAGCTCACCAGGCGCGTGCGGGACTTGGCCTCCATTCGCCGGGATGCCATCCTAGAGATTGTCGAGCACGTCCCCGGCATCCGCCCTGACCTGCCTCCGGCCGTCCGCACTCTGGAGTACCCCATCTCCATCCGGCTAGTGAGGTCCGCTACCCTTCCTAGGGTGGTTGATGATGTTGCCAATGGCGATGGCAATGGTGATGGCGATGCTCGTGGCAGCGCGCACGACGCCGCTGGTCGTTGCCATGGACGCGGGCAGCAACGCCGCCGTGGCCGGAAATGTCACCGCTCAACCTCCTCCCCCGACGGACGCGCCGATGGCATGGCGGTAGACTCCGCCAGCTGGACTTGCTCCAGAGGCCGCCTACGGGCTGATGGCGAGGCGGTCGACCCTGGCTGGCTGGCGTCCCGCGCCGCCGCGGCTGCGCATGCGCCTCCGCCCGTCCCGTCCCGTGCCAGATGCATGGATGCATGGCCGCATGCTGGGGCCCACCCCTAGTCACAAAGCCAAAAGAGGAAAGCGGGGCGGAAAGAAAAAGCACGCTAGGATTCAGGCTGCGCTGGCCAAAGCTGCAGCTGCAGCGGATCCCAGGCCGACTGGGTCGCCACCCTAGCGGTGGTGCTTGCCACCTCGACAGCTGGCAACAACCAATTGGCGCCCGCCCACACTCCTCCTGTAGCCGGGCCCATAACGACCCAGTCTTGCGCGTCGTTGTGCGCACAGGGAGACAACCAAACTAGCGATGGACCCACCACGGCCAATGCTTGCACGCTTGGGGATCCGGACAGCTTATCCCCTATCAGTGAGGTCCCGGACTCGCTCCCTATGGCTCCCGAGGTTGATCCGCTATCGGGGCAAAGCGATGCTTTGCCCTCTCAGCTCATGTGGCCAATGAAGTACATGCTGCTTTGCATGCCGGCCCCGCCACTTCGATGCGTGATGTTGCGCCCTCGTCAACCCTCGTGGCCCTGGCTGAGCTGCATGCCAGCCCCTCCTCGGCTATGCGGGACGCGGGTCGTGTGGTTCCATTCATCGCGCCTTCGCCCCTCCTGCCGCCACCATCGGGGACGCTGACTTGGGCTGCCCCTCCCCCGTGGCCCAGGAACCGAGACGCATATTGCAAAGGCCCATGCCTCCTAATGCCCATGCCAGCATGCCCTCTTCCCCAAGCCCGCCAACGCTGCAATCCACCCCTGTGTCCTATGCGCCTCACATGCGCAGCGCAGGGCGTTTTGCCACGCTGCCAATCACTCTGCGACGAACCAGACAGCCGACCCCTGTCAGCTCCTGGACCCTTGGAGACTTCCTCGCCACGACAACAAAGCAGACTTGCTCAACCCTCCCCAACCCTGCGCGCAAACGACGCCGGCAGCCCCTGAACTTCTCGCCGCGCCGCGGACGATCTGCCACCGCTGCGAAGGCCAAGCCTGGCGTGCCGCCTACCGCTGAGCGCCGTGCGCAGGTCCAGATACTGCGCACCCTTGGCATCATCGACACCGATCAAGTGATCTCCGCCGAGGCCATGAAGGCATACAATGGGGTCTTTGCTGCGCCCCTCTCTCATGCCGTGTTGATGGCCATTGCCGCGCTTGTTGGCCGCGTGCTACCCGCCGACCCGTCCACGACGCCTATCACCACAGTGATCTCGGGCATCCCGATCGAGGCCTAGCCGCGCCGATGCGTGCCCATTCGCCGACCTCTGCCTAATGGATCACGGCCTCAAAATCATCAATTGGAACGTTCGCGGCCTCAACGCCCGTGCTAGACGTACGGCAGTTCGCTCGCTTGTTGTAACTTCCAGTGCTTCGATCGCTTGTTTCCAAGAGATTAAAATGGAATTCGTCTACTCGTCGACTGTCCTTGAGACATTGGGATCTGAGTTTGATGAATATGTTTATCTGCTAGCGAGCGGCACCCGTGGCGGGATCCTGCTGGCGTGGAAGAGCCGGGACGTGACGATCACGGACCCGATGTTCACCACCAACACTATCTCCGCCCGGGTTACGACCCCTGGTAGCACAAGCGTGCTGTGGTGGCTCACTATCATCTATGGCCCCCTAGGACAACAACGCCAAGATCGCTTTTCTGCAGGAGATCCGGGACGTCTGCGACGCCTGCCCCGGTCCACGGCTCATCTGCGGAGACTTCAATATGATCTACCGTGACGAGGAAAAGAGCAACATCAATCTCAATAGGATAATGATGGGGCGGTTCCGACGCGTCCTCAACGACCTCGCACTCAAGGAGATTTACCTCAGCGGCCGGCGCTATACATGGTCCAATGAGCAGAGCCCGCCCACCTTGGTCCATCTCGATAGGGTGCTGTGCTCCAGGGACTGGGATGAGCTGCATGGCGAATGCCACCTGCATTGCTTGGCCTCGGTCGTCTTGGATCACTCCCCCCTCTTGCTCGATTGCTCGCCTCTCCCATCAGCGCACCGATGATTCCACTTCGAGGAGTACTGGACTCGCCTCGCCGGTTTCCCGGAGATCGTGGCGACCTCGTGGAATTCGGTGGATGACGCCGATCCGTTCCGGCGTTTCATGTGGCGCATGCAGGCCACAGCGCGTAAGCTCACCAGCTGGAGCGCGCGTTCCATTGGCAACGTGCGAGACCAGCTTGCGATCTCTCGTGAGCTGCTGCTCTGCTTCGACGCCGCACAAGAACAGCGTGCCCTATCACCGCATGAAGACTGGCTGCATCGTCAGATCAAGCTCTCCTACCTTGGCCTTGCTTCCCTTGAGCGGATGATCGCCCGACAGCGCGCACGCATTGCATCTCTCAAAGACGGCGACGCGAACACTACGTTGTACCATCGCCAGTGCACGTACCACAAGCAGAAGAACTGGATCCATGGCATCTCCGTCGACGGCGCCGTGCTCACTGATCCTAGCGACATGGTCGCGACCACTTTCGAGCACTTTGACAGCCGGATTGGGATGGACGCGCCGCGTGACTGCACCATTGACCTGTCGCAGTTCATTGAGCCCTCAAACCCGGAGGACCTCGACGCGCCATTCAGCGAAGATGAGATTTGGCAAGCCATCAAGAGCTTGCCGTCTCGCAAGGCGCCCGGCCCTGACGGTTTCACCGTGGAGTTCCTCCGCTCCCGCTGGCCGGTCATCAAGCACGACCTCTGATGCATCTTTGACCAGGTTTACGCGCTGCGTGGATGAGGGTTTAGCTGCCTTGACCAGGCGCTAATTACGCTCCTCCCCAAGCGCGCCGATGTGATGTAGGGTAGAACCCTAGTGGCCCGATCTTTCACGAAAGGAGCGGATCCCGTGAAGAACACGAAGAACACGAGGGGGGAAACGAGGGGAATCACGAGGGGAAACACGAGAGAACACTCAAACCAACAAGAATGATCACACATGCACTAGATCCATGAACACAAAGGGAGATACAAGATCCAAAGTCAACAACGGACGATACAAGAGGTAACCGGTTCTTCTCCGTGAGGTCTTGAATCCACAAGGGGATCTTCCCGTGAGGGGTCTTGAATCCAAGGTGGATCTTCT